TACAACAACAGAAAAATTAACATTTTCTATATGAACTTGAATATGTTACGAATATACAACAGAAGAATACACGACACGAATATATTTTCATTGTTATATACACAACACCGGAATATATATTAAAGCATTGACGTGTGTGTACTGATAGACGTTACAATGGATGTACAAACATCCCAACAAATGGATGCACAAACATCCCAATAAAACAGAAAACCGAGACTATTTGTAAACTTAAAGCCCGCATTAACACTCATTAATGAAGTACATAACTGTTGTCTCGTTTATTTCTGTCAACTCGTTCAGAGAACCACGGAAATCGCCCCATCCCTCCGTGTACATACCAATTAGGTCGCCACTCTGCCATAGTATTAACCCTGGAAACACAGTGGTAGAGACCGAGAAGTGCTCTAAGTGGTATTCGGTGCTGTCGTATGAATAAATAACCACGTGGAAATGCTATAAAATAGCGCGAGACAAACTGTTGGCAATCATCTACTTGATTAACGCTGGTAATTATTCATAAAGCATGCACTTTACCAAGTCACGCTTTGTAAAGTGTTAGCTAGTTGAAAGTTCATTGTCCTAAATTTTTGAATAACGAATTGAAAAAAAAGTACATGGCTATAAAAGTGCTTTTGTAAAAGAGGAATAAGTGAAAATTGTATGTATCAGACTTTTCTGTGATTATATAACATACAAGATGTAGCTTTACCGACATATCTCATTTTCTTACTTAACCCACTTGTTCCACGAGGACGTCATCACTAATTGAGGTATCGCTCTTGAAACTCACGGCATTGTATCATAAGACAAAGTTTCTGAAAAATTAATCCTTGTCTGCAAACAATATAACATTCCCTTCTTGCATAAAGCCCTATTTCATTTCGTTAATCAATTTCAATAATTTGACAGAGAAAATGTAATGTTATCAGACTTGTATATTACTACTTTTCTGAAAACCTTTATCATTATGAAGGGTTTATTTATTTCCTCTCTCCCCAGGTTAATCTCTAACACGTCTGTCTGGACGGCGGCCTTGGCAGACCATTAAACTGTATTCTTTTATGATTTTATCTGTGAATGAAAACACGTCTGTGATAAAATCAAAGATCACATCACATCCTTTGAACCTATTATACTTTGTTTTACAAGGGAAGATATTTGTTATAAATCTTCTTAATCTTGCAATATGAAGCCGTTTCCTGTGACATAAATACTTTAATGATAGAGTAAATAACAACTCCATTCTGTATAATGATGGGGTTATCAATTAGGTTTCCGTTGCCATGCATGTACATATAGAATGTTATTACTATTGGGTAAAACAATAACATGCCATGAAATGAAATTTACGCTAAAAATATATATATAAAGACATTTCGTATGATACTTTATTGTGTATTTTGGTTCTATTACAAAACTTACATTTAATGTCAGAATGACTATACTTAAAAACATTAGATGTCTCCGGAACCGAGTACAGAATGTCTAGGTCATCTATAAACCCTTTATCTACAAAGACTCCGCATAACTTAACCTTGACCCAGTTGTATAAGACGATGATGTAACAAAAACGACGCTAGGCCACCATACATCATAGCGCGCCCGAACAAGATTACGATCACGTGAGTCGCCTAGCAACCCTCAATCAAATTAAATGACTAGATTTACTCCGAAGCGGCTTCTTGGTTTTATTAGAAAAGCAGATCACGAGCCAGCAAACTCGATCATTAAAAAAATAAAAATAAAAAAAATAGTTGCCTTGTCGCGCACATCACCAACAATATCTATTAATTTTCACTTGATGGAAAGATAGAAAAATGTAAAGATATTGGTAAATGTTCAATAGCGTGCCGGTCGTTCATACACGTAACAGGTTTGACAGGGGAAAACAAAATATGTCGTTATTTTAATAACTGATGTTCATTAATCAATGCTGAAATAGACACAAATCAATACATGCATTCCTCGAATAAATACATCACAATGTCCATTTATTTATTTGTTATCAAATAACGAATGAACAGTCATGGTAATATTGAAAATCAAGATTGGTTAAATATTAGCAGCAGAAAGAAAATACAACTTCTGTCAGATTAAATCACGCTTTAATTTAGTTTTCTGTTATTTTTGTTGACCCTCGTTTATAACGAACACGTGAGGTGACGACTCAATGTCATACAAAGATTCTCGGATTAAAATTGACTATTTATCTAATTTAGACAAAATTCACATTGTGCATTCAAAAACTCAAGGGTAATCAAATGATCCACGAACATATATAAAGGGTAATAACTCGAAGAAAATTACTATACACATATTGAAGGTATACTATTTTACCACGATGCATGCCGGGGTTAGAAATAGGAGGTAATTGTTTCCTTCTTTCTGTATAACTATACGAATCTTAATATATATTTTTGCTATTTTGCATTTCTAACCAGGTCCTTTAAATTCACATTCAGATTCTGTATAGTGACGATATGCTGTCTTAAAATTACAAAACCATAATTGACGTAATCGATTTATATACCCTCCGGAGCTTATAATCGGGGACACTAGAGACTTTCTCCTCCAGTCGCTTTCCTCAATCTGTACTAAAAATTAGTCACAGTGACGACTAACTAATAGCTGTACGATAAGCAGGACGATTTCGAGTTTCTGATCTTGAACTTTCCTTTTATTTGTGGTAATAACAAAGCTTCCCACCTACGATGTTTAGATTTAGCAATTGATTCGATATATAAGATCTTGCTCCGAATATCACGACTTCCGTGATAGATGTCGACTGCTGACGACGGACAAAATTAAAAATTAAAATAAGGGGTTTTCAAAGATGTAGGTTGATGAAGACTGAAAGCGTGGAGTAACCATTCTGGCGCAGGTTTGATTTAAAGCGTGACATATGTGAAATATAAAGAGAGAAAAAACTGTGTTCTCTTATATTACCATACATGTCTTATTTACGGCAGAGTTAAGCGACATTTTCCTTCCTGCTTTGTACTAGTAAAGCATATCAGTATTCTGTCATTATCGTGACATATATGCCGTATTCAACGGGAAGCCATTTAGTACACTTTATGTATCCGTTTGATATGCAGAGGTAACACGCAAAACAAAAATCGGTCACATCTTCAACTTTCAAGTACAAATCCGAACATATATTCGATACAAAAAACACAAATGTCAATGCATCAAAACCAAATGAAATATATATAGTCAGCGCCCTCAAATTAGATATGATATCATGATCAGTTGCCCCAGTTCCTTGCACCTCATGATACCAATGCCGATGTCCCTTTCAAATCAAGAAAGGTATATAGGTCACCAACGATCTACGGCATGGTCACATTAGAAATGTATATGTACTAGTGTACATATATAGAATTACAGCTAATATCTAAAGTGTTCCGAAACATACTAGTGTAACGTGCAACCCCTGGTAGCGTGTGTGCACCGTGTGAATCTCAATTATGACCGAGCTACCTGCTCTAGAAGCGATTGGGATCCTCGGCTACCTGGCCGAGCAGTTGAACAATAACACTTAACAATATCAACAATATTTATAAATGAATACACATGTGGGCCAGAACAGTACCTCTGTCCTATCAACCCGTGCTGTCGAACCACGACACACGTCGCCTGGACGTACACA